AGTGCTAGCTCGAGACGGTATGAATCCAACTTTTCAAGAAGCTCAGAGTGCTAGTTAGGTTACAGGACCGTTGTCAACCGGGTAACGGAACTTCTCCCCTATCGCGGCATTCTCCCTTGCGGCATGCGGCAAATGTCACTGCAATTACCGTACTCACCCCGCCTCCCGAAAATCGATAGGACGCGATATTTTTCCTTGACTGGCTTGCTTTTTCATTGGATTTTATCGTTTTTTCTTCTGTTTCTTTTTAGTTTTCATGTTTATTAGACTTGATTAATTAAAATGACTCCTCTTATATAAACGACGATCAATACCGCATTGAAATTGAAGGGAGCGACCAGCGAATTCAAATGATTAAAGGACTCCCTACCTCACAAATTGCGCGCTCCAATCTTTCATCGCAATCGTGCGATAGGCGGCGGGTGCGGCGTGTGCGACGCCATAATAGGGGAGAAGTTCCCGGACCCTTGTCAACCGCATGTGCATGGCTCAGCGTTTTTGTCGTTTCCTCTGCGTCTCCATTAATAGGCATCTCACCGCAAACAGGATAGGGGACAGACGTAAGAGCTCGCAATTCCTCAAGGCCTCCTACTGCTAGTGATACAATGGGATACCTAGCGAACACTCGCCGAATTGCTGTACATTACTACACACCCTTCATTTTCCGTATCTTCTATCCGTTTGCCTGTTTGAAATACGAAGCTTCTTAGTTGGGAGAGGTCTATCTTTCTAAAAATCCTTCGACTCTTGGACTCTTTCAAATGTCTACTCTTGACGAGAGAGCGCTCTGAAGGAGAGAACGGACAACGAGCGGACACGCCCTCCTTCCGCTGGTGAACACGGGGGACGGAACTTACGTGCGTCCGAGGATGCGCGCGGCAATCTGCGCGCCGAAGTTGGTCGCGATTTGAACGACTTTAGCGCCTATCATTGGGGGTCCAAATTTGAAGTAAAGCAGACTGGTACGATCAGTTGACCCTACTAAACTACTCTACTTTGAATTTGGGCCCCAAAAACAGGCACTAGAGGGACGCACGTATGTACCCATACCCGGTGAACACGACACGCAGAGACGGCTTCGCCATCTGATTCTCTCAGCGAGAGACTTTCTGGTTCACAACAGCCTTGTAACCCTCTCTTTCAATGACTACAAAAGGGATACGCCTCTATCACAGATATTCGAAAAAGAATTTTTCTTCAGTTCGAGTGAGGGGTATAGAATGGTTCTTCTAATCAAAGCGGGGGAAGTTCATCTTCGACTTCTCGGGTCGGTGGCGCGCTTACCGTTCATAGGAGGAATCGTAGCTTATTATTGAAACAAAAGTCAGTGCACACTCACAGTACCGTCCTGCAAATGCGCGGCAGGACATAGGACACCCTGGCCTTCATCACTGAGGCTTGAAGTAAAGTAGATTAGTACGATCATGTGATCGTGAGTTCGCGATGTCCCTTACAAGCTTTTCTACCTGCTCTTCCCCCTTTTTTTGCTATTCTATTTCATTCCTGTTACCAAATGAATAAGTAAAAAGTTCGGAGTTATTATAACTTCAAACGAAAGGCCCTGCCTCACGATTAGCTGGTCGCACTAATCTGCTCTTCTTACCTTAGACCGCGCTCCAATGATAAACATCAGAGTCATTCAAATTGCCACGGATATAGCCGCGCAATTTGCCGCATGCATATCCGGACGCACCTATGTTCCGTCTCGTGGTAGAGGGGGGACGGTCAAGTCATGCGTCCGAGGACGAGCGCGGCGAAGTTCGTGACAATTTGTACGACTCTGTCGCCAATTTTCGGGGGCACAAACTCGGAGTAGTCAGTAGGGTCAGATGATCCTTCTAATCTACTCTTAAAATCGTTACGAACTTCGTTGCGCAAGTTGCCGCGCGCGTCATCGGACGCATGTAGTGCCGATCCCGGGGAACGTGCGATTCGTGCGATTCCGGGCGATGCGCACGGCAAAATGTGCGGCGAAATTCGCGATGATTCAAACGACTCCTGCGATTATTATTTACCATTGTGGCACAAACTTGAAATAGAGTTTGTACTTTAGTAGGGTCGGACAATCCTACTAACCTAATTTACTTCAAATTTGGGCCCCAATGAGAAACGCTGCAGTCGTTCAAATCGCACCGAATTTCGCCGCGCAATTTGCCGCGCGCGCCCAGAATCGCACGAATCGCACCACACCCGCCGGTCCCCCCTGGTGAAGTAGCCACTATCGTATGCTGTTGATATGCAACTGCCGACTGCTGCCATGAGTAGTCCTCAAACCTCTTGAAGTAACCCCGAGGTCTAACGATTAGGGGTGGTTCGCGGAAGACGGGCAGACAGTAGATTATTGATACCTTCGCTTCTACACTACTTCCGGGTAAGGTGATTCAGTTTCATGATAACAGCGATGTTCCTGGTTACCTGTATGCGTTACTCGTCTTGTGCAAGGGGTGTCTGAGGATGCTACATGATCGGCCGGTACGTCATAAACCGGAATTATATCCTTTTGATCCATTTTATAACAAAAGAGGAGTGCATTAGCAGTGTTGACCTCCTATTTTTCCAGTACCGCAAAAATGAATGCTACATATATTCGCGTGTCGGTTTCTCTTACAGTTCCATAACAACCTATTGATTCAAGATGCACAGGCAAAAATCGACGCACTTGCAACGCCACAAACCAAATTAACACTTTTCTAGTTGCCATAGTTGATTGTTCCACGGTCCTAAGACTGCTGATACAAGATGTTAAGCGGACATATCTCGATTAGAACAAAAATGTTTCCTCATTTAATCAACTTTTTCATTTGTTGAATAGTAATTTCTACCGTCTAGGTAGTGAACCAATGCCGCTCTCACAAACGATCAAGAAGAAAAACCGGCCACCCGGAGTGATTCCTGCTTATTTCCATTACGGCTCGCAGTTTCTTGTGAGTGATTAGAAAAAAACGTAAACGTCAGATAACAGATTTGACTCTTACCTTGGAATCCGTTGAAAGACAGCATTGCACTTCTTCTTGCCTGTTATTTCCTAATCGAAACAACACAGACCGGACCTCTTGACAATCCTCCTGCAAGTCACAACACTTACTGTCAATATAGGACAAAATTAATGTTGCGTCGGTTCTCAGAGGGGTACCACAGAAAGGGGCTTGGAACGAAAATTCATAACTGTTCAAAAACGCTTGACTGCTCGGGAAAAAAAAGTGTTTTAGAGCTCATATAGGGAAGGTGGCCAAATTTCTAAAATGGGTCATGTTCTGCTAAAAAAAGCCTAGGTACAGCAAAGCACTTATGAACTCAAAGTAGCTATCTTCACGTAGGGCAGGACACGGCGTTGAGGGCAAAACTTCCTAACAGGTCTCAGAACAATTCAGGCACCGGAAAATTTGAGCAAAGTTGGGGAGTGGATCGATAAATGCGACCAAGGAGACCCACCCGTTGTGGGTGGGGCGCCCCCAGAGCTACTACATAAATTCATAACCTCGTTCCACCAAAGCCTGACGGTCAAAGAAATTGTTGTATCGAGCAAGGTTGACGGTGTTCTGGGCATCCTCAAAGAGCGAGGCCCCGCCTGCGCTCAAATGGAAGGTGCTCTTCACGAATATTCGAAACTCTGTTTGAAAGGGTTGCAAAATACGAGAAAAGTGGTCAGAGACTACCGAAGGAAGAGCGGGGAAAAGCTCGCGGTAAATAGAGCGTCATCACCGTTGAAAGATCATTCGATTCAATAATCGGGGCAGTTAACCAAATTCGAAAGGTTTCGCCGAGTAATGTCCTTCACGGGCACGGGTGTTAAGTGCCAAGAAACGCGCCATCATACGGTTTGAGGAAGATATCTTGGATCGAAAGCTCTTGAGGAAATAGAACCTTCCATTTTTAGTCGGAACCAAGAAAATCTGGGAGGACAGAAACACTTATGTGTTTATTGACCGGTCTGCACCACTCGCTGTGCAGAGGTAGACTGGTCCAGAAAAAAAGTTCTTCACAGTCTATCCTTTTCTGCACTACTTTATATAACATCGAGAAAAGCCAAAGGAACATGATAATAGAATATGGAAATACTTCAGGTAGCTCCAGAATATCACTTGGCGACTTGCCAAATCTCTAAAAACATGGCGACTATTCGATTCTCAATATTCTGTTTCCTCAACGACATTGAGAAATTTCTTCAAGCAAATCGCACAATCAGTGAGGATTTCTGGGATTACAGGTACGTGGATGAGTACAGCTGTCATGGTCGTTCATACATAGAGGGGACGACACAATAACGTCCCATGGTGGTACGATTTCATGCGATTTGTGTTGGGATCATGAAATTTCAGTCATTAGCTTTCGCATCACAACGTTTCACTTTGAAATTTGGTTTTGTAGCTTCTGCAATGATCATTTTCGTCGTAAGGATCTGAAGAGCGCTCTGGACGTAGCTGGCGCTAATGCGACGATTTTTGCCGTGATTCGCCATCCGATCGAACGATTTCTCAGCGGATACGTTGATAGATGCGTCAAGTAGGTTACCATCAATACATTGCTGATCGTTGAAGCCGAAAGAATCCTTCAAAGCACAGGATAATGAAGTTTTCCAAGTCACCAATGGTTTCAGCCGTCAGTACTGTCTTGGATGCAACAGGGATCTGAAGTGCTTTGTGGAAATGCTATATCGGACTCTTGTCAAGTACTATGAGAACCCAAGTGATGTTGTGCAAGACAAGACGACTGAGCACGTCCTCCGGCATTTCGCTCCCCAGACATGGTGTGAGAATGATGTCAAGCCTTTCTGACAAGTCTTTGGAGACATCCTGTACATTTTTCTGCCGTTTCAGGTTTTGCGACTTCGAAAACCACAAAAATGAGTACGTTCTCCTGAAACAACATGTGGGACCTAATGGCACACATCGAATTGCTGACGAGTTCTACGAAGTATTCGAGAAGGCGGGAGTTCTGAGTGAACATCGAGCGATCATTCATAAAGAAATGCTGAGTAGGTTTTAGTAGAAAATTAAAAAATAAACAGCTTGCACATATAAGAGTTTGCACGTATCATAGGGATAACACCCACTTTTGAAGTTGCTCTAGATGCTGGGTAGGTTAATTCGTGTGGGGGTTCTCAAGAACCCTAAGGAGCCGATTTTTGCATTTTTCGTGCTCCTTCCTTCACAAGAATTGACGGTAGTGTGAAAAAAACATACCTCATATAACTTGACGAATATGCATATCTTGTTCATATGAAGACATGCCACTGAACTCGAAATAAGACCGTTCACGTCACTTTTTCTGAAGTTTGATCAGGTTCATGTGAATTCTGTATTCCTCTTAAGAGGGAACAACCGTACACTCAACTTCACAATCACTCGCAAGGAAGGAAGTTCGAGAACGACTTCTGGCGGATCTCTATCTCATGGGACGTTTGTTGCAAATTTATTACTATGATTTTATTGAATTCGATTTCATCTAACATTGCATTATTGTTGAGCGATCGGAAGAATGCCATAGTATGCGTCGTACTCTCTAACAACTTCATCACCGCATGTGCCATTTTGTACATATATGAACGAATACTCCTGCCCAGGAAGATTATACCATAATAATCGGGAAAAGTTTCATTTCCAAGGAAGAACGCCAGATAATCCAACCATCTCAGGAGCAAATGACCCTGTACCAGCCGCATTATCATCGTCAAGACGCTTGAACCACTGGCCACTTAGCAAGTTAACACTGCGCTGTAAATGTCACTCTCCCACCTGCGCCAAACAGTTCATCTTTGATGTAACTAGCTGATACTATGCAGCCAATTTCGAGGCATTGCGTATATGAAAGTGACGTTGCCTTTGTGGTCACTAAGCAGTAGTTTTATTTCGATTCCTTCCGGCAGAACGATTGAAACAAGTGTTAAGTCAAAGATTTCGCTGGGAAATTCTGCACAACCCGGAACAAGAAAGAAGTCATAGAAATGAAAAAATTCCTCTATTGTGAAAAAAACTATCCTAACTTGATATACGAGTAAAATATGAGGCGAAGAAAACCGCAGTCTCTTTACAATTGAGGTCTCAATTTTTGTCCTAAGTTTTATTCTTGTTATTCATAGCATCATAAATGGCAGAGTCATCATTATTATTGGAATTTGGAAGACTAGACATTTGAGCATGTGTACAATCGCATGATTACAGTAATAAAATAGTACATTGAAATTGGGAGAAAATTCCTGAAACTACATATGGAATCGCATGCATTGCCTTACAACATATACAAGTATAATAGAAGGTCTTAAGGAAAAAAATGAATGCAGGGCTCTCAGTTGCTCACGGTCTCTACTAAAATTTCCTCTGATCCAAGTTGACTTTTTGTTCACGAATCGCTACAGCTCGCAACGCCTGTCTGCTTCCAAATTCAATGAAACAATGTGGTACAAGAAACCTTATGTCGTTTTGTAAGGTTCATTAGAAATACAAGGTCACAGCGTTTTTTTAGAAACATCAATATCCCACTCAGACCTTCGGGTATTAGAACAGGATAGTTTCCGCTCAGTATTCATTACTTCATCTAATAAAAAGAATCGCACACTACTATGTACCAAAAAACCTCTTGTTGTCTGTTCGGAAACAACAAAGACATATGCTTCGCCTCTTGTGAACACTGCACGCTGGCATGGGCCATGGTGGTGGACACAGCCGGGAATCACAGATCCTCTGTCACCTACATGCAAATCTGGTCAGTGGCACTGGGAAGGAAATCGCAGCGGTTAGTTATATATCGCGGAAGTAGACAGAGAGTGTAAGAAAAAACATGGACTACATGAGCCTATGATCAGAAACATTCTTCTTCGCAATCTGCGCTAAATAAAACGATTACAGAAAACAAAAGCAATTTAAAGAGTATCAAGGGCACCACGGCGATTGTCGAACTATTGCTTTGCGAAAACTGTAGTCAACTTGGATCATCGTGACTTCTTGGAAAAGCACAAGCAACCAGCGTGCTAAGTACTCTTATGTAAAGATTTGTGTTTGTACAGATAAAAAAACATTTCGGAAAAAGAGATTATAAAAGAAAGCTCTGGAAAAGACATTTAAGGGAATTGTGAGCAGAAGTGGTGTCCGAAATGATCTCAAAAAACATTTCAGGTGACCGGGTAAGAGACCTTGAATCAAAGTTGAAGAGTCGTTCCCATTGAGAAAGGACGGAGCTCCAAGACGGTCCCTTCGGAACGGAAAGCCTTTTCAATTTCCATGAAAGGGTTGGTAACGGAACTAACTCCGTTAAGCAGGATGAAACATTACAACTTCTGACACCACGGCTCTTCTTGGTTCTGATGTGACGGATATTTAAAGATAAGTAGGTTCGTTGAAACCAACTCAGACTACTCCACTTGATTACAGCATACTGACAACAGAATTAGGCGATATTCTTCTTCCCAATCAGTACTGATATCGCCACGGCTGTGCCAATCGCCACGACAACGAAGAACAGCAGAATGAGCACCTGGAGGCGTTGTGTCTGCAAAAAGTCTTTGAATTAGTGGCGCAACCCTTTAGATGAATCACAGTTTTCTGTGTATCATAAAGCCCGAACATATACAATTGAGCAGCAGAAACACTTCCACAATAAGAGTGTTTTCAAAAAACTCTTCTTCTTTATGGTGTCTTACCTTTTCAATAGAATCGGTATAAGTAGCGGTAGTAGTACCACCAACGCGCACCATTTCAATCTCACCGGAAACGCGATGCCGTCCAGTCCACCAATCTGAAATGACACTCATCGAATGGACTAGCAAGAGTGGCTGTAAATAAGAGAATCCACAAACTTTTGAATGTCAACAACTCCATCACAATACAGGTGAGGCCGGCTACGGCTACGAATGCGATGTAAATGCCGAGTGCTGCATCGCGATCACTAAACATCCTGAAGTGAACGACGGCGATCATCGTTGCCGCTGCTGAAATATTGTGAAAGCGTAATCACTGCTGAACTAGTACAGTCAGCGATAATCTTGAGGTACCTAGTTCAAGTGAAACAATAAAAGCGATGGTCCGGATTAGGGCAACGGTGGAGAAGAAGACGGGAAATCGGCGTATTTTGAAAAAAAAAGAAGTGGGGAAGAAAAAGGGTAAAATGAGGGATTCTGCAGGACTATGGCGTCAAGGGTGCTGCGGAAGAGATATTTGGACGAGTTGCCAGTCCAAGCAATACCGTGAAGAGCTTGCTCCAGCAAACTGGAAATGCCGAAAATTGCCTTCCTCAGTCAACGTGGGTCACGACAGTTGATTGGATTTTTTTACGTACATATGTATTCCCTTGAAATAATGCTACCTCTAAAAAGCTATCATGACACTGCCACTTTGAGCGATTACGTCGGCCTGGCCGGTTTTGGAACCGTTATTATGCTCCGTTTAAGTAATTTTTCTGCCCCACGTGCTATCCTTGGGGGCCACAGGTACATCTTGCAGGTATTCGCAGAAATCATTTTTGTCGTGAACTGTGCCCTCAAATCAAGCAAGCCAATGTCACGGTAGCTGTGGAGTGTGTTAGAAACAATTGTATGAAAGTGAAAATTTCACTGCTGTACATGGGGAAGCAAGCCCTTATAGGTAGGATACACACTAAAAATTATCAACTCAGAGATGAGGATTAAGGTAAAATGAGATAGAAACAGCGTGCGTGAAGCGAAGCATCCCCAGCTTTTTTTCCCGGAAATGGGAAAAAATTAGAAGAAATCAGCAGAAGTCCTCAGGAAAGGTGACGGAGGAATGCCTGGGTGCGTGATCTAGGAGAGCTTGAAGTTGAGAGCAAGAGAAGGTGCTGGAAGATACAAGGTTTATTGGAGTTTGCTCTCAGATGTATTGAGTTTTAGTAAGTACTGAGTTATACGATAAAGATTACTCCGAGACTGACTGCGTAGGATGGGTGAAGAATGAATTAGATCTCGATGTCTAGCCATTTCAACTGACATCGATCAAAATACCCAGTTTTCGAACGGAACACAGGAAGTAAAAAGTATTGGTACATTAAATGAATAAAGACAGACGTGGCAGTTGAAGTTCAGCATGCACACAATCATTAATCGAAATTATCGTCTTCTCCGCCTGCGATAGCACATGTGAAAAGAGATTAAAAATTTCTTTCTGGATTTTTAGAGGCACTTCTTATTCGGATGCTACCGGAACGAAACAACAGCTAAGCTACTTAAAAAGGAGCAGCTACATAGTTCCAGGCGTGATGGCGGCATGCGCCAAGCATGGGGCGCTTCACTCATTACGTTTTCGGTTCCTTACTCTATTCTTGCATTATTCGCTCTCAGAAACAGATAGAGGTATGAAAATCCTCTACTCTTGACTTCCACCCATGATGAAAAAATGACTTGAGCTCAGTTTCTTAAGAAGGCTCAGTTTGAAATCTGTGCCAGCGTGATACTCAAGAGGAACTTTAAAACTACAAGGTTTCATAAAAGAAACATCCTGCGGTGAATTTGAACGGGAAAGTCTTGTCCTACCTGCACAGAGCCAACATCCAAAACCAAAGAAGCCGTGTATGAGATTGAAAAGGAACCGTGCTTTCGAGTCAGGATGGCATCTGAAGTGAAGAGTTTTTTCGTTTACGGAAACTGAATCAAACACTCTGTTTCAAAAATTATCGTTGGCTTGGCTCAAAATGCATCAAGAGTATGGAACGGCTTCTTATCGACACCTACCCACACTCATAGGGGAGGTCATTAGATTCGGGCAGTTTTTTTTTGACACTTCAATTGTTTACATGATGTTTAGGGTTCATTCCAACTAATAGGATGAAGATTCGTTTTTTTTAGTTAATCTGAGCTTTCCAACACTTTTTATTCAGCATTTATTTCTGTAGGAACGATACTGATGAGGCTTATAGTTTGGCACAACCATTTTAACAATGGAAAGGTTTAAATAGGGCAAATACTACTATTTGAGGCAGACAATATTGACAAATACCTTAGAGTGTGAGGGAATTCGAAAGATACTTCTAAGCGAAATTCGTGATCTTCATCGTTTACCGATTGGCCACAAAAGCTCAGTAATAAACGAATCTCCGTTTCAGATACTCCTTGGGTCTTCCTACACCTCAAACATAATTTTCATGCATGCCCACTTACAGTAGATCTTCACTAATCGGAATCTCCCTTCTAAGCCTGCATCCACTGACAGTGATCGAGGAACGGCAGGATTACATTTGATGACACGAGTGAGCTACGTTCATGGAAAAATGTCAGTTTCCCCCTTCGAAATTTTTCCTAATGGGTTCCAGAATAAGCCTACACTGCCGATAAATGGATGTTCTAAAAAAAGTAAAAGAAAAAAGAAAAAGTTTTATCTGACTTCGAATAATTTTACAAAAACTCTGGACTCTGGAACCCATGCAGAGCAACTGAAATGTATCCGCGGGGTGGTATATGTAGCAAGGTAGATATGAAGGCAGAAAAGACGTAAAAATTAGAACCTGAAGACAGCGTTGAGCGGTTGAGCCCATGCAACCACACATGCGATTAGTCCCAGCATCGCATGAACAGGTCCCCATTGGTTATTCTAAAGAGGACCAAATAAACTAATGTCCTGTCTAAAAGAAGTGGTTTGAAATTACCAGTTCCGATGATTGGTACGCCTTTGGTCCAACCCATCGCCAGTCTTTTGCCACGAACACTACCACGAAGCCTGCTATCGTGCCAGCGACACCGATAATGTTCAGAGTGCGATGGAACTGAAAACGAAGAGACGTAAAGGGCGGAAATTGGCAACACATGAAGTATTCAGTTCGTCGTCTGACGTATTTAAACAATTGTGCAAAATAAACGACTAACAGCTCATATTTCCTACCCTTTAGAGATTTCAACTTAGCAAAACAAATAATTGCCGTTCATTTGTTCTACTACTGAACCTATAGAATTATACTCCAAGAAGAATGTAAAGACTTACATGGAACCATAGCTGAAGCCCACAAATAGCCGAATTTGGGCACTGGCCTTTCATATGCCGCGCGAAAAGGATCGCTGTGGAGATGAATATTGACCATGAAAGAACCATAAGGATAGCTGAAATATGCGGACATGACGTTCCCAAGAAACGTTGACAGGAAAAGTCGTTAATACGAGAGATGACCTAAGCAAAGATTAGCTCTTCCAAGAGCCAGACCGAACCACCTTTGCAAAAGGAGAACCGTTCTAGTCCTTCATTGCTCGAGGTCAGCACCTCGCCCACTCCTGTGCTCCTCCTCTCGTAACACCCAGATAAAAGACTTGACTCTCCTGGCTCGCAATCCTTTCCAAGAATTACCACAGTCCGCCAAGGGCTGCGCCGCAACCTTCTGTGACTTCCAGTTGAGGAAGAGCACAGGGAATGGTCCTTTTATTTACATTTTCGCTGTTCCAGTGAATCTTTTCAAGCCATATTGTGTAGTTTTTACTTACCATGAGCAATCATCAGCTTGTCATTATTCGATCGGTCACCTTCATCCAACAGTGGATCTAAGAGATTATTTGTGAATGTACTGCAGATTTATGGAACGGAAACGAAATGAAAACGACCTTCTTTACCAAATGCTAACTGCTGATTCAAATTGTTAGAACTCACTCTCCACCATACCCACTCCTCTCACATATGCTGACATTCGCGTACGCGGCATGACGTATCGATTGGACTGGTGATATGATAGCCCTGGAAAATCGATATTATTATTATTGAAATAAGGAAATCATAAAATTTCTAAAATCAACACAAAGACAACTGACGGTTGCCTTCAGTTGGTCCTGCTGCTAATAGTATTTGGTAGGTGTTGTTGAGATTGAGAAGATTGTTTTGATTAGGATCCAATCGTTGACTGAAATATTAACAGCTCTTCTTCTTGAACGTAGTAAATTGCAGGCTATTAAAACTCGGATTCCTTCGAAAGAAACATTTCTGACAAGATTAAAATAGTAAACCTTCACCAGTGGATCTTTCCAAAGTCGGTCTAGCTATGTAAGTACTAAAGTCTCGACTATGAGGAACGCAACAGGAGCGGACAAGGGTGCGCCAGGCACTTTATCTGATAGAAATGTACCTATTCATTCTAGCTTTTAGTATTTTGTTCTGCTCAATACCTCCTCACATGTCTCAAATCCCAGTTCAAGAACAACAAAACATGTTGCTATTCATCGCGATATAAACGAGATTATTATCGCTCCCAGATGCGCACAAATACTTTTCTTATATCCTCAAACTTGGTTTGGGTAACAAATACCCAATTCAATGTACCAAAAACAGCTAAGGCTAATCTACGGTTATCGTAATCCATTAGGTGGCTGGGGCGCCTACATGATAGCAGCATTGATATGTGCAACAACTGGGCCCATGTTGTCATTGTATAAGCCAAATATCCATTCAAAAGTATTCAATGTTCAATCAAAACTGAACGCATGGTTCACTAGTGAGAATTTATGGCTAATCAATGCTGTTTCGTGTAATGGCAATCAAGGTTCTGGGTGAGGAATAACGGGCGATACCGGAAAAGCGATCGTAACCCTCATGAAAAGTCCGCCCCTCGACTGGTTTTCCATTATCATACTGCACCATGAAAAGCAAGAGTAAATTCATTTTGTGAGGAGAATTAAAACAAAGAAGCTTCAAAACTAAAACAATACTAGTAGCTAACTTGATCGCACAATAGAGAAGACCACCAGTGTTAGAGGTACGGAGCACGTTTTGTATGCCAACGTTGCTCTGGAAAAAGATAGTCATTTAATAGAAGTAGAAATGTTGGAAACTCGTGTGAGCTTTGGGATTCCTGTGGCAAAAAACAATGTTGGGCCATGATGGGCAGTAGGATCGATCAGAGTCAGACGTCAGCCCTTTTTGCTGGCTCTCTACGACTATTTCCAATCAAAAATGTGTTTGAACAGCGTCGGTCGATGTTTGGTATTATCCTCTATACGTGATGGTAGGAAACAGGAACGCTACTTAATAGCGTAGATGGTCCTTTTTGAATTCTCTCCTGTGATATAGTGTCACATGCATGGACATGTAGTGCACGATGGCCGCCTAGGCCAAGAAGGATAAAAACCTACAGCATAAAACACCGGCTTATTGCAGGTCGTCTGAAAGGATTGAAACACTGACTTGTACATCGACTGCCCATCGCAAAACATTTTCTAGGCCACATCGAAACGTCACTACGATTCTAAGTGAAATTCGAAAGTGGGGAGTTGCTCTGCTCTTGCGTAATGTATTACTAGTCTGCTGCCAGAGCTTTTGACAGATACTAAATGATGAATGGTTTGATTTTGGTCTGATTCAATTTGAAGCGGAATCGGAGGTCACAATCGCAGGTTTGACATCCCAGTTGTTGAATGCTCCAGAATAGAAACCGAATTTTTTCCCATAAGTCCCATAGTTATTTCCAAGTACACTTTGGATCCATTTTGTGAGATTGGTTTAAGGCTCTAGGCTCACCCGAAAATAAATCGTTAAAGAGCGTCATAGACAGCTGGTAAATGGCAACAGCTACACTCACGATAATGGTGTTGCTCGGTTTCTGTCCATTCAAAGCCAGACCTCCCGTGGGTTGACCGTTCAAGGTTGCACAGAATACAACCATATCATCACCCTACAATGAGGACGCTTCATTACTAATAATCCTCCAACGTTCGAGCTCTAGAAATTCATTAATTAATTTATTTGTTATGAAATTGAAAAGTGTGAAATTATAGCGAAAGCTTATGAATTTATCTAGTTAGTTCACCATTTTTTCTATTTCTCGCCTCTATTCCTTCTTACAGAAGTCTGTTTGTTGCAGGAAAGTCAGAGGTAATGGGGTAAACGCGGTTTTTTAGGAGAAAGATCACGAATCTCCACACATGAAAGATGCTAGATGAAGTACTTAGTCAAAATACTTCAATATTCCAAGTTCAGTACCGCTTTTATTGAAATGAGCGATGAACTCCCCGTTCTGCCTTCCCTTCCTTTATTCTTATTTTTTATATTTGAATACGATTCCTAGAGGATTTGTCTTCCAGGAAACATTACTCATGATAAACTGCTGAAAAACTGTTCGGCCTTCCAATAACTCTTGTGGATGGCTCGTCTTTTGCGAAACGCTGCGGCATCGGCACATTCACAATGGCGGCAGTTAGCAAACAGATCGCTTATAAATATATTCTTTGGTCAAAGTCGCCATGAGTCACTTGTACGACAAAGGTAAACGAGAGCTACGGTAATCTTTCATCATCGTAAATCGCGCTATTGCGAGAACCTCAAGAAACTGGACTCTCTGACTAACCGACTAAGAGATTAAACACCACAATGTTCTCATGTTTTTTTTTGAAAAAAAGACCAGTAATTACAGTGAACACACTAACCATAAACTCATCCTTCGAAAAACCAACGGCCACGTAGCCATTGGCTGCAGGTGGTGTTCCAGCCAGTTCCATCGCTAAACTGTCTCCATCGATCTGAACTCAGTAATATTTAATCTCTTACGAGGAAACCTTCCTTCTTTTCGGGGGTCCGAGGATGGATACCACATTTATGTGACGGAGCTTGAATCATAGGTGGACACCCCCTCGCCATGACGGTAAGTGGTTTCATACTATGTGAATGGAAGTCCTTCATTGAACTCCGAAGTATAATACTTCATATTAGAATCAAAGTTTTTGGAAGCACAAAGTTCACCAAAAATTCTTGGACCGAGAGGTTTACAACGGAATAATTACCCTTACTTCCTGAACTTCCCTCCCTATTCAACCTCGTTGAGGGTTTCCCACCACCCTTCTAGGATCTCAATCATTTAGATTTCAAATCCTTCATATCAACTCGATCACTTGTAGTTATGAAAAAAGAGGTATTGATTCCACACTCAGCAATATTTAGGGTGAATCGAATCCTAATCAACTAGAACGTGCCTGGTAGCTAAACTGAATTTGACAATTTTGTCCAGGACGGCATCCAGGCGGCGCGAACAAACATCCCTTCATTGTGCCACATGGTGAGATATCGAGTTGAGCTTGTACTGACTGGAAACAGCAACAATATAAATAAGAACAACTTCATCTAAAAATGTTTACACTATTCCTGATCTTTTGAATACATTACGAATTTGGATTGATGGACGTACGACAACTTTTGTCACTGTATTAATCTGCAGTCAAATAATTCATCCCAAGAGTAAATGATCTGAAGTACCTGATGACAGCAACCCAAAACAGCAAGAAGAGGCACTGACCCAATCTTATAATGCGAAGGAAGCTCGAAGGAGTGTGTTCCAGTCGCCCTTGCGCTTAACGTACATATTGCACGTACTGCTTTTTTGTACTGCTATATGCTCTACCTTGATGGACGTTTTTGTCAAGGGCCAGCTCGGGCACTAAGTTCGGTAATGTAGATATCTTTTACCCAGGGTTCCCAAAATTAGACAACAGCGCTCTAAATTCTCAAGGACATCAACCAGCTGTTATCAAATGTTCCTTGTTTTTTGCCTTTTTACTCTCTCAATCAATTCAGTTGTGATAAACTAAAGAGTGAGGATTTGTTCTGTCATAAATCCACGCGAGTAACTGCCCTGACAGGTTGGCTTGAGCAAAATTGCAGCTAAATAGTTCAAAGGGCAAATCGCTTCCAAACAAGTTTCATGCCATTTCAGCCGAACCATCACCACAAAGGATTTCGTTTCCATGTTTGAAGATGGAGATAAAATACTCTAGGTTGGAAAGAGCAATAAATGAATGGATTAAACTACGATAAAAGTCAAAGGGCCAGATTAAGCTGTCGTGTAGACGTTGTACTTGATTTCTCATCGCGTTGCCTTTTCCGACAAATACATAATTGCGAAGCAAACCGAGAAGATAGCAATCCCTCCAGCTCATCCATCCCGAGATTCGTACATCACATTATCACATACATATAAGTACACCGTACACCTTACACTGTGAGCTATTGACACCTTTTCCGTTCAATCAAATTATGTATCGAATTCGAATGGAGTCAGAATATTTCCATCGCCTTACAGCGGCAACAGTATTTGCGACAATGCAGTATTATACATATACCAGCCAGGAGTAACTTGCCGAAAAGAATTTTTTTCCTCAGAAAGCTCTATTTTCATTTGTTCTAAGAAGACGTCTCGTCAGCTCAAGTCGGCGTGTAGTTTATGACGTCCAGCTGTATGTATTAGCCCATAAGGTAGGCATTCCTTCTACATATTCCACGAAGTTTTTTTCAAGATGAGAAAAGGCGAAACAATGTCAATAGCTCTGTTGTTCGAGCATTTGTCCACTTCATAGTTTAGTGTGAAGCAACAATGATGCTCATTCTTCTGACTTTGGAGCCCTCTGCCTGCAAAAATGTAATCAGAGGGAGGCGGACACTATGCCCTTCGTATCTAACACTCCACTATGCTCTGGGGACCTTACGTGAGCTTTCGGGTTTATACATAGTGATGGTTAGAAATGATACTTAGCCAGGAATGGATTTTTGCCTAAGTCTTAGGAGGGGAAAAACAACGAACGGATGAGACGTTGTCCTTGTTGCGAAAGTTAGAATGAAAACGATTTACACCAAAAGGAGCCTCGGTGAGAGGGAGGGCAGACAAGGACGAGGGAAGAAGCTTCTCTGACTGCTTCAGCATTTGTACACAGGGCGTTCTGGAATATTTACCCTTCTGTCCGCAGTGGAAGCTTATATGGGCCCTAAAATGTGCAGTTCACTACTATCAATAAGGCAAGCACTGCAGGACCATCGGTAACAACAATAATTCAGAAAAAAAGACAATCTCAAACGGCATGATCAGCTTGTATTGGCATATTGATGTTGTTATATGGGTTATTCCGTTGGTAAACCAGTCTAGAGCAAGTCAGTGTGATAGCTAGCAGAAATAGGGTGGGAAAGGCTCAATTCGCGGAACTTGTGGAAAAAGCTTGTTTTCATCGGCATGAAAGGGATACCTTAAATGCTAGAAAGACAAGAAGAAGAAAATACGCAGAAAATGCAAAAATGATTTTTTCCCAGCAAGATGATTGCTTTCGCTAAGAAATCAATTCAAATGGGAAAAGGCAAGATACAGGAAAGAACATAATGAAAACGAAGGCTTCCCGAAAAAATCGCATCAAACGAAGCGATTGAATGGGTTTCGTCTCTGCTAGTTGAAAGTATCCATTGTTTCAGTAAAACGACTCAAACGTAT